AGGTATTGAATGACAATATGTTCTGTAAGTGACTCCAGAAGTGAGTCCAAAATTGAGTCCAAAACTAGCCCAACAGCTAAATATAATATATATAATATAAATATAACACGAATAAGACTTTATTATACAATATTTTCTACCAATTAAGTCACAAACAATTGAATTAAAACTGCTAATTAACTATTACTGTACTGCCATGCTCACTTAAAGAAACTTTTGATTTACTTATAACAAGGAAATATACTGTAAAAACATTTCATATATACAGTATGAAAATGGTTTGTTACATAATAAAATAGTGAGAGTAATGTAAAAAGCAATATAATAATGGTTTGAATGGTGTGATAGTGTGTTAAATAAACTAATTGAATGTTTAATAGTTTGCTTCATAGCGTGAATTGTGATGAGGAAAGTAGCGTAAAGTTTCAGCAAAGGTTATGCTCTATGTGCAGTGACTGAGTGTATGTGTTTCACTGTAAACTGTAAACACACTAAACACTGCAATACATTGCAATACATTTGATGATAGATTGAGTGATCGTTATAATAGAGACCAACAGTGGAGCCAATGGAGAGTCAAAGCATTCAAACGTCAGATAAAAGTCTTGTTTTTGTTTGAGTTTCGGGTTTGAGTTGAACTCAACTCTCGCCTCCTATTGACTCGTTTGGATGTGCACTCTGTATGACATTCAATACAATAGTGCATACATTGAGTACAGTGTGTCTCTCATTTGCTGATGCATTCGTTGAGCAAATGGCGGATTAAATGGCAAAACAGTTGCCATTCATTTGACTCTTTGGCTAATTGTGTGCTAATTGTGTCGACATTTGGGTGAATGCAGTGAAGTGTTATGTGGATGTGTTTGTCACCACAACACCATAGATATGATGAGGAATAATATGTCACTTCAGTTGACAGATCAGCCGCACAATGGTATGCATTGATGATCACTTGACCACTAATTCGCTGATTAGTTATCACTCAAGTATCCATTGGATCAGCTTAGCTATATGCATGTTACGAATTGGTGCAGGGTATTGTCTATGCATTGAATTGTATTGATACTATAATTACGATATGATTGATGATAAGATAGATGTCTAGCATTACGTGATGTGAAACACATGAACAGAGACTCATTGAGTGACTATTCAATTATATGACATTATATTACAGTATATGATATGTTTCATTATTACTATTACTATGATTACAATTAACACAATCAGCACTCATTTAATTGTTTTATTAAACCATTTTGTATTCACTCACGTAACTTATATGTGTAATATAGTATCATTGCATTCATTTTAGTGTTTATTTATATTTATTGATTTGATATTAATTTGGTTATCACTTCATTGGATGCACTTATGAGACCATTAAAAACTTGTAATATATTTGCATTGAATTGATATACATTTAAACATTTGCTTAATTTAGTAAATAATGTACTGTAATGTAGGGTAAATAGCAATATAAGTTATACTGTAACTATGACTATACTGTAAATGATGAGAGAATTAGCGCTTAATTATAATGAATATCTAATGTGTGTTTGTGGTAGCGGTGAGTGGGATCAACCGGAACAGCCCTTCGCGCACAAGTATCCGAATATCGCCGCCAATCGCACCCAACAATGAGACCAAAACCAATGTGAGGACCAATTCATCAAATGTCATGAGAAGTGATTCAGAGCCGCACTCTTTGCTCGTCAACCAGACGTCTGGTATCCATCCAAACAGTTAGTTATCATTCAATTACAAACTCANTTCACTATCTGAAAGCATACTATAATTTAAAATATTGAGATTGAAAACTATGAAATGTTATCCAATACGGTATAAACATTAAATTCTACAATCAATTCAAAAAGAGGGGGTAGAGTTGGGAGGGGTCGTGCAATGTTGTAGAGTTAACGGTATAATACTATATTAACTCGTAAAGGATTTCAACACATTTTGTTATATCATATAAAACTAAAAAACATAAAAAACAAAAATAATAAATAAAACAAATTCTTACAGCTATTCCATGCAAAACCATTTCGGGAATACTGAGGGGTCCAGTAATAGATGGGCCAACACTGGCACCACTTACTGAAGTCCAGGTGTGATCGCCAGTAATAGTAATGTCGGCATCAGTTGTCACACTATTTCCACTGCCGATACTTGAAGACGAAGACGAGTTGCGGTTATAGTTGTCTTTATTACTGGATTGAGAGCCCAATGACTCGCAGCTGTGAACAGACACTCGATGCGATTGGCCAGTAGTCTACGTATAGTCCAACAATTATTACCAAAATCACAATCAATTCAATGAAATTAATCTCACTTTAGTATCACTTCCGCGGCCACTGTCCAGACTCGCAGAACTATATCTCGATTTTCTGCTGTCATTACTACTAGTGCTGGGACTGACTCGTCCCACATCTACGCCATGGTCTTCGAGGGAAGCCCTCGAGTGGTTAATAGTGTTTGGGTTTAAGTTAACACAATTCATGCCGTTTGCAACAACAACTGCACCATTGCTCACACCATTGGTCCCAATCATAGCTGTCTGACCAACACTTATACCGTATTTGTTGGTATGAGACATATAATTCTGTTGGCGACACAAACAACAGTTATAATCACATAAATCACTCGTTATTTCATCAAAATTACATTTGAATCATAATATGGATGCGAATACATATCATTGACCACATCATTGCCATTCTTCATCAACACGTCTGCAAATGATTAAACCAATTGAGGGATCAGTTTATGCAATGAGTTTGTAATTTAATGATAACTAACTGTTTGGATGGATACCAGACATCTGGTTGACGAGCAAAGAGTGCGGCTCTGAATCACTTCTCATGACATTTGATGAATTGGTCCTCACATTGGTTTTGGTCTCATTGTTGGGTGCAATTGGCGGCGATATTCGGATACTTGTGCGCGAAGGGCTGTTCCGGTTGATCCCACTCACCGCTACCACAAACACACATTAAATATTCATTATAATTAAGCGCTAATTCTCTCATAATTTACAGTATAGACATAGTTTTACGGTTATAACTTATATTGCTATTTACCCTACATTACAGTACATTATTTACTAAATTAAGCAAATGCTCAAATGTATATAAATTCAATGCAAATATATTACAAGTTTTTAATGGTCTCATAAGTGCATCCAATGAAGTGATAACCAAATTAATATCAAATCAATAAATATAAATAAACACTAAAATGAATGCAATATGATACTATATTACACTTATAAGTTACGTGAGTGAATACAAAATGGTTTAATAAAACAATTAAATGAGTGATGATTGTGTTAATTGTAATCATAGTAATAGTAATCATGAAACATATCTTATACTGTAATATAATGTCATATAATTGAATAGTCACTCAATGGGTCTCTGTTCATGTGTTTCACATCACGTAATGCTAGACATCTATCTTATCATCAATCATATCGTAATTATAGTATCAATACAATTGAATGCATAGACAATACCCTGCACCAATTCGTAACATGCATATAGCTAAGCTGATCCAATGGATACTTGAGTGATAACTAATCAATTAGCGAATTAGTGGTCAAGTGATGATCAATGCATACCATTGTGCGGTTGATCTGTCAACTGAAGTGACATATTATTCCTCATCATATCTATGGTGTTGTGGTGACAAACACATCCACATAACACTTCACTGCATTCACCCAAATGTCGACACAATTAGCACACAATTAGCTAAAGAGTCAAATGAATGGCAACTGTTTTGCCATTTAATCCGCCATTTGCTCAACGAATGCATCAGCAAATGAGAGACACACTGTACTCAATGTATGCACTATTGTATTGAATGTCATACAGAGTGCA